TCTGTCGCCTAGGCTGGAGTGCAATGGCATGGTCTCGGCTCACTGTAGCCTCCACCTCCTGGGTTCAAGCAATTCTCCTGCCTCAGCCTCCTGAGTAGCTGGGATTACAGGTGCCCACCACCACGCCCGGCTAATTTTTATATTTTTAGTAGAGACGTGGTTTCACCATGTTGGCCAGGCTGGTCTCAAACTCCTGACCTCGTGATCTGCCTGCCTCGGCCTCTCAAAGTGCTAGGATTACAGGCGTGAGCCACCACGTCTGGTCTTCTGTGTTTTATAAATCATTCTTTTCTATAAGATTTCCCCTGGAAAAAATGGTCTTGCAGTGAGTTTTAAAACTGTTGTTTCTGGGTATCCTGGGAACCTTGGAGTTTCCATCTTTGGCTAAGTGTCTTTTTCTAAAATTAGAGCAGCAGTAGCAGGTATTTATTTCTGAAGCAATGCCTACATACCTCATCAATTTTGGGGACCTATTAGGCTATTCTATCCATCCCATACGCCCTTCTCTAGCAGACCTTAGCTTCAGAGGGACTGTGAGGACTATAAAATCACATGCAGAATTCTTGCAAATATGTATTTTAAAAATTTAAAAAGAATACAAAGACTGTTCTGCTTCAGTGTGAGCAGCAAGGATGGCTGTGTGTATTTACTCTTTCATTCAACAAAAACCTATTGAGTGCCTGCTAATCCGTGTTAGGCACGTGCTAGACATAGAAAATCCAGAAGTGAAGTTTATGTTTGAATTCCAGCCTTCCTCCCAGAAACTTTCCAAGTTCTCATAGGAGTGGTAGGTTTAGATCCCGGAGTGCTGAACTGTACAACGAGTAAGTAGTAGCTTTAAACTGCAGGTAGTATGCCTAGCTCTCTCTGCTGATACTGTTAGGGAGCTTCATTGGACCACTGCTTGCCACGTCCATGAGTCACCTGTCCTAAAGCTGTTGCTGTCTCTCCTCCAGGCTTGTCAGTGATATCTGTCTGTCTTCTTCAGACAGGAACAGGGTTCCAGTCAGATTCGACTATGCTTACAGGTCCTGAGAGCCATTCAGAAACTGGCCCGTGAGTCATCTCTCATGGCCCGAGAAACCTGGGAAGTCTTACTGTTGTTTCTTCTGCAGATTAATGACATACTTCTGGCCCCACCAACTGTTCAAGGTTTGTTTATTTTATTTCTGATTTATTTCTGAGCTCCAAATACAGTTCATCTTTAAACTTAGTGAGTGGTAGACTCATTGGGGATTTAGATTTTGGCATGACAGTTTACAAACGAAGGTTAACAATTCTTAGAATGGAAACCCTCAGGCACAATATAACTTTAGCACTAATGAAATTATTTTACCTTTAGTAATGATTTTGCTAATGTAGGAAAGAACTCAGTGAATTATGCATGTTTAATAATAATGGGAACAGTAGCTTATTTAATATGTTAGGATAGGCTGGGCATGGTGGCTCAGGCCTGTAATCCCAGCACTTTGGGAGGCCAAGGCAGGTGAATTACCTGACGTCAGGAGTTCGAGACCAGCCTAGCCAACATGGTGAAACCTCGTCTCTACTAAAAATACAAAAATTAGCCGAGTGTTGTTGTGGGTTCCTGTAATCCCAGCTACTTGGGAGGCTGAGACAGGAGAATGGCTTGAACCTGGGAGGTGGAGGTTGCAGTGTGCCGAGATTATGCCATTGCAGTCCAGCCTGGGCAACAAGAGTGAAATTCTGTCTCTCAAAACAAAACAAAACAAAATGTTAGGATAGAGCCTATATAAGAAACAACTGGCCAGGCATGGTGGCTCACACCTGTAATCCCAGCAGTTTGGGAGACTGAGGCAGGCGGATCACCTGAGGTCAGGAGTTTGAGACCAGCCTGGCCAACATGGTGAAATCCAGTCTCTACTAAAAGTACAAAAATTAACTGAGTATGGTGGTGGGCACCTGTAATCCCAGCTACTCAGGAGGCGGAGGCAGGAGAATCGCTTGAACCTGGGAGGCGGAGGTTGCAGTGAGCCGAGATCACGTCA